TACCAATGTAATACGAGTAAAAAAAAACAAAATCAATTAAATGTAGTAGTTAATTATATTTAACAAATAATAATTCAGTCGGAGTAAAATAATACAAAGATTAATTACATAAATTAACGTTAGAAACAGTTTAAAAAAATGCGTTATATTTTACAGGTTATTTGCGACTTTTCGGCATTTCATAAACGGGTAAAAAAAGAAACTCGAGGTTAAAAACGACGACGTACGTCCGTAAAAACAGAGTGAGAGCGCGCGCAGTGTGCAATGTTGACAACGAGAGGGGCACGGATGGCAGCGGCTGACGAGCCGGTACCGCGGTTACATTGATAATATTGTTGTGGTGCCACAATACTAATTGATTAGTGATTACAATGTTTACAATGCAGCTAAATACATTATTCTTATTAGTTTAAAAACAACAAACTCATTTTAATTGAACATATCTAAACTTTTTATTATATAATAATGGTTACAATGGTAAATTGTTACAAGTATATAAATAATAATAATCTTAAAACAACTCCTTATATTGATTAAAATAAATGACAATATTAAAATATTTTAAAACATAATAAAGGTAATATAAAATAAGGAAATATTAAATTTGTTCAAAWYTAAATTCATCATTTGTATTTTTGTTGTACAAATTATTTGTGTTCATTAAGTTAATCATTTTTTTGGGGGGAATATAATTAACGCAATTATTATTTTTAATTTTAATTTCTTGAGATGCTAACAAGCAACCTTGAATTGTGTCAGTATTTAATTTATTTCTAGTTTTTACTTTTATTAAATTGACCTTACTAAAGACACGTTCACAATCAGCATTGGAATGAGGGAGTGAAAATACTTCAAGAGCAAAATTTGAAAGATTTGTGAATGGAAATTCTTGATTTCCAAGTTGTAATTTAGATAAATTATACCAAAAAATATCTGGTTGATCTAAATAATTTAGTAAATCAGTTGAAATATTAAAATGGGGMAACTGTCTCCATTCATTGTCAATAGATTGCATTAAATCATCATTTAATTTAGTCAACCTAGGCAATAAATTTAAGAGAAAAAATAAAGAATTATTTTCTTTCCTGGTTTCAATGGATAATGCAATTTTAGGGTCCATCAACTTAATAGCTGGCATCAAGGGATCATTAAAATTGTATTTTTTATTTAGTAGCATGCAAGCTATTTTAAGAAATGATTGTACTCTTGAATAGAAGTCTTCTAACATTTGTTTATTATTAGCAATTTTAGGGTTTTGTACTTCTTTCATAATTTTAATGCCAAGGTAAATCTGAGTAAAAGGTAAGTAATGTCGAGAATTTTCTGGATTTATTTCATTGATAGGAGTTCTATTGACATAATTTGGACCCATAAAACATATTAAAAGTTCTTTGAAAGTGGCAACCATTTTATCATGCAACTGTGTGATGACTACACCTGAGCTTTGAAAAAAAGAATTGAGTGATGTAAATTTTGGTAACACAAAATCTAAAAACAAATAAATTAATTTTATTAAGGGATCATTCAACGAATTATAAATATTTTCTACAGTCGTAAGCCTTTCACTTAAAAGTTTATCTCTAAAATATAATATTAATGGATCCCATTGTTCTAGTAACCTAGAAACTACCATGTGTAATGAGAGCCATCTAGTTTGACTAGGGTGTAAAATCTTATGAATAGGCGTTGAACAAAATTCTTGAAACTCCACAAATTGTGCATTACGTTTTGAACTCATTGAAAAGAAAGAGTAAACCTGCCGTACTAAATCTTCGCATCGTTTTGGCAGGATTTTACATGCCTCACTTGCACAGAGGTGCAATGAATGGCAGATACATGTCCAAATACTAATTCCAGGATAGTTTAAAATCATTCTACTAGCAAATGAATTGTTTGCACCCATCATTGAATTGCACCCATCAGAACCAAATCCTATTATATTATCTGATGGTATATTATAATCATTAAATGCTTTTATCAAACTGTTAAATAGATTTTTTCCAGTAGCACCTTCGTAAGCTATCTCTTGGTTGTTAGAATCAAAAACATTAGCCAGATCAAAAAAATGACTAACTATTTTACCAATATCTCTATTAAAATAACGTACAACAATACATGCTTGCTTGACACAACTTACGTATGTCTGTAGACTCATCAGTTAATATACTAAATTTTGAATTAATTAAACAATCTACTAAATACTCTTTATGTGTCCTTCCTATTACATTTTTCATTATAGATGTAGTTTTTGTTCTTTTTAATTGAATGTTTTTAAGAACCTCAGAGTCTGGATCTAGATTTTTAATTAATTCGGACAAATGGTCCATAGCTAGAAATGGAATATTATGTTCTGCTATAAAAGCTACAAGTTTGATTTCAGCAGATTTAACTTTTTGTATTAATGGAGTAAATTTAGGAGAGAAAGATTCGATTACAGATGGAGTCTTGGCTACACTATTTGAACTTAAAATATGCTTCTTACTAGTTAGATGACGATTTAGTGAAACCAATTCTGATGCAATATTTACGTTGCAAGTTATGCATGTGGCGCTTGTTTTTGAATTTTGATCAGGGCGTAGCCAATTTGCAAACTTTGGATTTTGTAGCCACTTGTCACTGAACATTTGTTTCCTGTGTTTTGTTGGTTTGCTTACTTCGAGTCTAATTTTTTTTGAACTCTTTTCACTATCTGAGTCATTGTCAGAAATATCATCTACCTACAAATTACAATATTTAAAATGAATAAATCAATTATATTAGTAAGAAAAAAGCATGAAAAACAATTCAATTAATTTTCTTAGCTCATGCACATATTGACATAAATTATAATTATCTWGCTGCTAGCTAAATATCAAATTAAAATATTTTAGGTAAAAAATAAAATTTAATATAATATAATACTCACACTTTGTTCTACTAAGTTGTTGATAGATAATGCTTCATCATATTTCTTGCTTGTAGAAGAAATTGTACTTTCAAACCTCTAAGATTGTAATATAATAATATTGTTATTTTTCATGCAATAGAGTTTAATTAATATTTAATACCCCACACAGCATGAAAATAATTATTTAAAATTTATTAAACATTTAAAAAAAAATGAACATATTCATTAAATATTTTATTTTGATCAATGGTCAATTGTAAAATGTTTAATCAACAATTATTAATCATTTTTTGAACCCTTTTGCATTTATTAGAGTTGCAACGTATTAGATTAGGTTACCTAACCTATTCAGTTGTGGAATTTATTGATGATAATACAATTGAGGMTGTACCAACAAGCTGGATAAAAAATGATATGTGTGCTTGGCCTATAACAAAAAAAGATTCAATTCTTAGAAAGCTAATAGAAAGAAAAAGTCTTCCAAATGAAGCAGAGTTTAATCAATACAAAATTAAAGTATTAAAAACAACAGGTAAATGATAAAAGTGRTATTTCTTAATTTTTTCATTTAAAATAATGTCAATATTTGAATTTTTATATTAAATTTATTTGCAACTCAATGCCTAATAATATCACACACTTTAAGGTTTTTAGACTTTTAGCAGGTACCAATCAATATTATTATCTAAAAAATGTGAAAAATATAATTCAGTTTTTCTAAAATAACCATTAATTGTGTAAAGCCTTATTGGTACTAATAAGAAAAATAAATTGACATTTTTGATACAAATAGATTCATTAATAAAAGCACGAGAAATGACTAAAGAAGGACTTACTAAAACCGATATATCATCTGCTGAAGATTATGATATAAAACATAAACGCAAATGCAAAGAGAAGACATCAATCACGATGGAATCGTTATTATGTCCTTCTTATTCAGGTATTACATACTTGAATAGTAAATATATATATTTATATATAAGTTAAATAATAGGTAGTTACTAAATATTTAATATGATCTATAATGCTTAGCATCTGAAGATGAATCCAATGACAATTATAATGATGATTTTGTTACTGCATTTCAAGTCACTKAAAAACGGATAAATGGTTGGTCACCTTCTCCAAAAAAATTAAAAAGTAAGAGTTTAAAAGAAACAAATTTAATGTACTTAAATTAAATATGAAAAATAATATTTTTACAATAACAAATACTTTTTGGTTCTCAAACTGTAAACAATAATCCAATTAAATCTAATAAAAATAAATATTTATGTTCAAAACCCTCAGTTTCCAGACAACTTTCATATGCTAGCATTGACAAGAAAAAAAGTATGCATTACTTATACCTAATTGTAAATAATAATTGGTTAATTTAAAATGTATATTATTTTATTACATTTTATTACCAGTTTTAGCCTATGCTCGAAAATACACAATAAATGATTAATTAATAAGTTTTCGAATTCTAGCTGGCAAAAAAAAAAAAACATTTTTTTTTTTTTATAAATGACAGAAAGAAGGCAAACTAGGGCATTTACAATAACTGGTTAGGTGGGTGGGATGTCCTCGATGTCTTCATCCTCTTCATTGGGTAGTATGGCCAATTTGACGACAGGCCGCTTGAACTCCAAGCCAGATGAGTTGCGCACAGTTGCAGCTCTTACCACATTGTCTGAGCCAGGATGGACCTTAATAACTCGTACTAACGGCCATTGCAAGGGCGGCAAATTTTCGTTTTTTAAAATGGCTAGATCTCCAACAGCTACATTTCTGCATATCTTAGTCCATTTACCTCTGCGCTGTACTTGAGGCAAATACTGCTTGGACCAAAGACTCCAGAACACTTGCATTTGCGACTGCATTAGTTTAAAACGTCGAAGACGATTATGAGGCACAGCAGATACGTCTGGCTCAGGAGGCAACATAAGCGGACCACCTACTAGGAAGTGCCCAGGTGTAAGGACGTTGAAATCTGCTGGATCTGATGCCATTGGTGCCAAGGGTCGAGAGTTCAGTGATGCTTCTACCTTGCACAACAGTGTCATCATTTCATCATAGGTTAAGAGAACTCCACCAGTAACTCGAACAAGGAGCCTTTTCGCAGATTTTACAGCACTTTCCCATAGACCGCCAAAATGGGGGGCCGATGGGGGAATGAAACTCCACTTAATGTCTTGGATGACAAGAAAGTCATTGAGCTGCTTATGCGTTTGTTCAGCGTTTGAAAATAGGACTTGAGAACACGGTTGGCACCTACAAAGTTAGACCCATTATCGCTGTAGAGGCTAGTGCATTGACCTCTTCTGGCCATAAATCTTGACAAGGTTGCAAGAAAGTCTTCAGTAGAAAGCGAGGAAACCAGTTCCAAGTGGATAGCCCTGGTGGTCATGCACACAAAGACACATATATAACTTTTTGTGGGGGCCACCTTTCGGCGCCCACTCCGAATCATGATTGGACCGCAGAAATCTAGCCCACTCCTTGCAAATGGCCTTGCAACAGTTACCCGTTCCCTTGGTAAGTGAGCCATATAGGGAGAAATGAGCCTGGGTGTTGCGCGGAAGCATTGATGGCAATTGCTTACTGTTTTTCTGGCTATTATTCTGCCACGGACAATCCAATAGTTACATGAAATGTGAGCTAGTAATGCTTGCGGGCCAATGTGCATTAAGCGTCGATGCTCGTATTGAAAAATCAGTTTGGTAATACTAGACTTGCTGGAAAGTACCACTGGGTGCCTTGTGTTGTATGGGACTTCAGCGTTATTTAACCTGCCACCCACACGAATCAAACCTTGATCATCTATAAATGGACTTAGGGCCCGTAGACAGCTGCTACGGTGAACTAGTCGTCCCGCCTTCAATGATGATGTCTCATTTGGAAATGATTCAGCTTGGGAACGTGATGCCCAAAAGACCTTGGCTTGGTTCATTTCTTCCAAAGAAATAAAACCAAATCGACGCTCGGTATGTGAAATGCTTGATCGGCAGTTATGTAAAAAACGCTGCACTAATGCAGTTATCCTTAACAATGTTATCCAATTGGAGTACTTTTTTGAAATCCACAAGCAATCAATTGTGATAGCAGCCAATGCCAGCTTAATGTTGCGAGTTTCCGGTATGCTTGATGGTAATGCGGGATTTAATGGCCAATGACTTGGAGGTAGGCGTAGCCACTCAGGACCATTCCACCATAATTTGCAAGACGGTAAGGCACAGACATCGATTCCTCGAGAAACAAGGTCAGCCGGATTGTCCGCAGTAGGCGTATGATGCCATTGAACGTGAGCTGTTAGTTCATTTATTCGCGCAACCCGGTTAGAAACAAATACTTGCAGTGGCACTAATGTGCTTATCCAAGCAATGACAATTGTAGAATCCGTCCACAGGTGTACATTGTCCTGGTGTAATACAATGTTTAGCTTCGCAAGTTCACCTTGGACCTCTGCGACCAATTCTGTCAGCAATAAGGCACCACACAATTCAAGACGGGGTATGGTGGTCGTCTTCATTGGAGCTACCCGAGATCTAGATGTGTATAACTTTACACAAGTATGGGCATCTGGCATGGAGGAACGTAGATAAATGCAGGCACCGAACGCATGCTGGGAGGCGTCACAGAAGCCATGTATTTGATAAGTGGAATTTGGTACAATTGCTAGCCTTGGTATTATTAAGGCGTCAAGACCAGCCAAGCTTGAATAAAATTTGGTCCATTTGGAATGAATTTCTTTTGGTAGGGGTCATCCCACCCAACCTTGAGACTCCAAACCTGTTGAATAAATATTTTTCCTTTAATCAATACTGCTGCTATCAATCCAAGAGGATCATATTATATACTATTTATGTCTGACAGCAGGGTGCGTTTTGTTAGGTGCTGAGGCGAAATCCAATTCTTTATTGCAAAACGAAAACTGTCTACTGATGGCTGCCAGCGCAAGCCTAAGGCGCTTACTACTTCAGTTTCTGTTAGGTTAACCATAAAGTTGGGGTCGTCCTGAGCATGTGGCAAACGGTTGAGCAGTGACAATGAGCTTGAACACCATTTGCGCAATGGGAAACCTGCAGTACCCAATATTGAATGGATTTGCTGGTGAATTTTAAACAGTCTTCATCACTGCCTCCTCCGCTGATAAGGTCATCAACATAAAAATCTTGACATATTATTCGGCCTATTGGACTTGTTATGATATGTGTACCAAGCTCATGAAGACAACGCGTAGCCAGGAATGAGGCTGATTTGGTACCGTAGGTGACTGTTCTGAGTTTGTAATGTCTTAGAGGCTCGTATGGTTGCGATCTGTAAACAATCCGCTGCAACTCACGTTAATTCTGTAATCGCCAAAACGAGAATGCAGGGTTGTATCTTCCAGTTGCATTGCCGTTGATGACATGGAAGAAACTCCAATAATGTTGAGTGATTTTTCAGCTGTGGACAAGTTGAGTTTCTTGGCACAGGATTTTGTTATGAAATTTAATTGCGACCCAGAATCAAGCACAGCTCTGCATGAATGATGGCGCCCAAAGGCGTCGCATATGTTGACTATAGCAGTTGCTAAAAGTACATTGAGATTTTCAACTTCGGGAACTATTATTTCGGTGTACATTGAAGTTGCATGTGGTAGAGTCTTATCATCATTGTTGTTGATAGGAGTATTTGCATTGCTGGTAGTTGCTTGTTCTTCATGTAGCTTGGAATTGTGCTTTTCGCCACAACGAGGGCACGGTGGAAAGAAACAAGAAGCAACTTGATGGCCATAATTAAGGCAGTTAAAACAAAGTCTTGATTTTGCCACAAAGCTTCTTTTGTCAACTATACTCATATTATTAAACTTGCTACATGCGAACAACTTGTGCTGCTCAGTGCATAGGGGACATTTGCCTAGGCCCTTTTCTTTGGATTTTATAAAAAATGTCTTCTTATCCTACACTTTGTTATTCACATTCTTATTTGATAACTTTTTTGATTCCTGYGGTTGACAATTGATATCTCCTGCTTCATAAGCCGTTATTCTGTTGGCTAAAAATTCTACCACAGCTACATAGGAGGGCAAATCTTTGCTTTTATACTGTAAATACCACTCACCCACTGTGGCACTATCCATGCGACTGCATAATAGTGTAAACAACCAGGCATCCCAATTGTCAACTGGCTGCTGCAGAGATTTGAGGGCATTGATGTTTGATGTGATGTGGTGGTGTAGTTTTTGCAATTCACTGCTAGATGGTGTGATAACTTTGGGTGTATCTAATAATGAACGAATGTGGGACTGAAATATAGCACCTTTATTTTCATAGCGGTTGACTAATAGGTTATACGCATGTAGAAAATGATCCGCAGTGGTAGGGATAGATTTGATGACATCACGAGCTGGACCTACAAGGCACGCCTTCAAGTAATGAAAACGTTGTACCAAAGGCATCTTTGTTTGATCATTATGAAACATTGAATTGTATGTGTCGATAAAAGATGACTATTCCTGCCAATCGCCGTTAAATGATGGAAAAGCACAAGGTGGATAGCTCATAGAATTGAATGAATTTCCGTGCTCTTGAGAGGTGAGCGAACTCATCGATGGGCTAGAGACATTAGTTGAATGTGTAGCATGCTCATCTGTGATATTTAGCAAAGCAGCTTTGACGTCACATAATCGATTTCGGAAAGTTCTTCGAATATTAACCCATTCTTCATCTTTTTTATCATCAAGCATTTCCAACTCAGCTTGATAGTGCTCAAACTTCTCAGAAAATTCTGATACTTCATCCAGTCGTACCTTCACCTGGGCAATGCTGTTTGTTTCGCTGGAATAGTTGAGCGCAAAAGTGCTGCAATCTTCAAGGACAGCGCGTAATGTGTCGAGTTTCCTGGACCATTTGCGCAACTCAATAGCTCTCTGCTCTTCTGACATGGTAAAGTTGGAGAAAGATGTTTATGAGGAAAGTTGAATAGCTGTGATGTCTTGGTTATGCTGTTGCGCTGTTGATGCCTACCTAATCTGCAAATCTTACAATGTAATAATATAACTGTTGAAGTACACCAGATACACAGAAGCTAAAGGTAAATAATAATAAGATCGGWTRTATGTAATAATATAATAATAATATGTATAATTGATACGAATAACTATAGTGCTCTGAGGCGTAATATAAAACAACGACTAATCGTCCTACAGGCTACTACATAGAACGAATATGATGMTAGTAATAYAAAATGCCTAWTSAGCGTCTGCTGTACTACAGTGTGAATAATTTTACTTATAATCTACATACTATAGGGTTTGTTGTTTACATTCAACAATAACACAACATAGGACAATAATAAATATAATATTTTTTGTTAATAACTATGTTCCTGCAGCTTAACTAATGATTAGCATTTACAAGAAAAACCAAATGCTGATAATATTTGCAGCTATGATATTATGCTAATGACCAAAGAAAATACAAATGAAACAAAATGACTTATGGAATTAATGTTTTCTATCACGTCGAGGTCACCAAAATGTTGGCGCAATGGGCGTCCTTTATTAAATAATATCAGGTACGCCGGTACGCTAAATAATATAAGGATAAAAAATCATATAATAAATTCAAATAACTATATCCATATAAATGCCTGATTGCATAAATATAATAATGTATAATAAATTGATATATAAAATAGGATTAGTCCTGTTTGACTCAATAATAACAATAATATAGGTATATATAAAAAAAATATGAGTAGCCCTAATGGCTTAACAATGAATAATATGTGTATAAATATAATATGAATAGCCCTACTGGCTTAACAATGAATAATATGTGTATAAATAAAATATGAATAGCCCTACTGACTCAACAATGAGTATGTATGTATAAAATGATATGAATGAATTTTGCCTTCGATGGCTATACAAAGTATATAATAATAGTTGGCCTAAGCTGGCTCAACACAACAGTATAATGAATCAATTCTGCCATAAGCGGCTATATAAAATTATATAATAATGGTAATAATAATAATGAGTATAAAAAATATGAATAGCCCTACTGGCTCAAACAATGAATAATATGTATGCAATAA